TGGTGGTTGATGCTAGTAGCTAGTAGTGATTGGTAGTGGTGGCGATTATGATTGAGGATGGTGGTGGTGGTTGATGATAGTTAATAATGGCGGGTGGTGGTAATAGTTGTGACTGAGGAATGTGGTGGGTTGGTGGTGGTAGGTTATAATTATGGGTAGTGTCGGTTGTGGTTGTTGATGGTATTGGGGTGGCTAGTTGTGGTAGTTGAGGTGGATGAATGTTGATTGTGGAGGAGAATGATGGTGGTCGGAGTGGTGGGGATAGTGGGTGGTGATGGTCGATAATGGTGGCGGCTATGATTGAGGATGATGGTGGCGTAGTAGTGGTGGTGGTGGTTAAGTATGGTGGTGGTGGCGGCATGGTGGTAGTTGATAATGATAGGCGGTGGCGGCAATTAATAATGAATATGTGATAGCATCTTAATGAAATTAAGTCTCTGTTATAGATCTTAATCATACAGACCTATTCAGACCCATTAAGTGGTTGTAAAATAAAAAAAACAAATACACTTAATGATTAAGATCTGAATAATTAAGATTCAGACTTTAAAAACAAACGCACTTAATATTTGAGATCTGAATAATTAAGATCCAGACCTCCATTAAGTGCAAACAAATGAGGCCTAAATCAAGTTAGGAGAATATTCGAGAGACATTTTCCTAAAACACTAGCCCATTAACATGTTCTTCATAACGCTTTATATTAGGTTTACCTCGTATAGTTCAGATTAAATCAAGAGAGGAGTCTTGGCTATACGATTGATCTGATCATCGAGTGAATTTGTGAGAATCATTAGAACATTAGAGTGAATTGAACTAGAGTTAGATCCTGAATAGCAATCTTGCACTTATCCAGCCACGACCCTTACTTCTCTCATTGATTATTTCAGTGTTGCATAAATCTTGTCTTTGCGTGATCAATTATTAATTGCGGTAGTTTTATAGTTAATTTAGTTCATAATCATTCCAACCAAAGTGTTAATCATTCAGAATAGCATTTAAGGCAGAAAATACTTGAACATTGTTTAAATCTAATCTCTATGAAGACGATAATTAAACTATACTATTTTTAGCTAGCGAGCATTAATTTCGTATTATATATATATATATATATATATATATATATATATATATATATATATATATATATATATCAGTTTCTAAAGCAATTTTATAGGAAAGTTCCTCCATTTCAATAATCAATACAGTGGTACAGAAGTACTTTCTCTGACTATTTATAGGTTTGACTATGGCGGATGAAACTGTTAGGAACGGTGAGGTTTACAACGACACGCCGGTAGAGATCGCCATCAACGAAAGATCGCTTTGGAGCAAGATAAATCTCAGCTCCTTCAGGTGAACGACATGATTGAATAGACGGTCGATAAACACAAGAACTCAATTGAGGAATCTCAAAATCATACAATTATAATACAACTTAAATATATATTATTCATCTTTGAGTTTCGATTTGAAAATTCATCCAAAATCAACTATAATCTTTACCAAACACCCTAAAATTGAGGTATTAACTCCAAAAAATATTGCCGAACATTTGTAATAATGCCGAATACAAACAAATAATAATTTTAAGAAACTCAAATTCAAAATCTAAACTTTTGATGGCTTTCAATGGTTGGCGGGGGAGCAGACAATGACTGGTTCGCTGGTGATGAGAATTCATTATTGAATTGTCGGAAGAAGAAAAGAAAAAGGATATGAGAAAAGAGAAAAGAAGCATAGAAGATCCAAAGAAGAAAAGATAGGGCAGAAGAAAGAAAAGAGAGAGAGATTACTGAATGTGTAGAATTCGGTTTCCACATTAAAAGGTAACAATCTACTCATTTAATACTTATTTGTATATAATATGCAAATTGTATATCAACTTATAATTAAGTTAAAATTTTTTTAGTGAGAGTAAATAAGTTTTAAAATTAGTATAGTTAAATAAAAATTCTATAAATTTACATGAATATGATCTATTTGATATAATTTAAGTAAGCTCGAAATTTAAGAAAGACTTAAAACTTGTGATCCAAAGCAAACCATAGATATTTATGTGACAAAATTATTTCATTAAGGATAAAATGAGTGATTTGCACTTAAAAACTTTTAAATATAAAAAAAAAATATTCTTTTTTAGATAAACTAAAAAGAAATGCATTACATAAATTGGGATGGAAGGAGTAACATGTACCATTCGCACAACACTCAACGACTATCGATATTTCGTAGCTTGATTTTTCAAATGTTGATCAATCGCTTTCATTATGTGAAACACCAGATCACTTGAAGGAGAAAAGCATTTGGTACCACGCAAATGTTCTCAGCAACTAATTTCAACGGTTATTTATTTTCAACATAAATATCAAGGATAAACCTGGTGGATTGCAGGAAAACATGAGACTGACAAAGCCAAATAATCTAGTTGGAGTGATTTTTTTTTTAAAAAGCCCCAAAGAAGAGGTATTAATTCCATTGATAAGTCAAAAGATTACATAGAGGGGGACAAAAGCCTAACATCTTGTACTAAATATGCAAAGGACTAATGTGCAGAAGAAAGAAGCTAAGATGGGGAGTGACTCCTCATGTTACTGTTTTGCTTTCAAAAGAGATTGACTAAGTGGGCATTTGGACATAACTGTGGAATTCCGGAAAAAAGTAGAAAAAAATTCAAGTGAAAATGGTATTTGAAAATTAGAGTTGTGTTTGGATATGAATACAATTTGGAGCTGTTTTTGAATTTTTGTGATGAGTTGAAGTAAAAATTTTGAAATTCAACTTCATGAAATTTAAAATTTTCATGGCCAAACTCTGATTCCGAAAAGAGTGAAATAATTCCAAAAAAAGTGAAAAATTCTTATGGCCAAAGGGGCCCTAATTATTAAGAAACTTAGTGGCGGAAAGAGAGTCATCCTAGAAAAAAATAAAGACACATTTCTTCACTCTAATCCTGAATGTAGGAGATTCATTAGCCTTATTCTTCATTGTGGATTTTACCTGTCTAGGTAAGGTGATATCCTCAGTGAATAAAGTGTTTTGTTTAATGCTTTCCCCAAGTTAGTAAGTTGATCTGCTACTAAACTGCCTTCTCCGAAAATGTGCTCGAGTTGAAAGAAACCTTGTGAGGTCATATTCTGCACTTGAATGATCTCTTCTCTAATTTGTCAAAAAGGGGTGATGTTGCCATTGACCATTTGGATAACTAAAAGTGAATAAGATTCAATAGAAATGTTAATGAATCTATGTTGAAGACACCATCTCAACCCAATTTTTAAAGAAAGTATTTCAGCCACGTTATTACTACAATTCTCCAAGTAGGCTGCAAATGCCATAATAATGTGGCCAGTGTGATCTCTAAAAATGCCTCTTGCCCCTGCACTTTCTTGGTTACCTTTATTACAACCATCAACATTAAGCTTTAACTAATTCTGGGGATGTTTGATCCATTTGACTAGCTTAATATCAAGCTTTGGTTTTAGTCTGCCAACTAGTTCACAGATGTATGGCATTGTAGAGGGGAATTGAGCAATCAAAATGAGTCTTATTAGGTGGGTGACTTGATCAATCACCCTTCTAGAGTAAAATCTGATGCCTTCATATTTGTGACAACATCTGGAGTTTCAAATTGCCCACAAAATAATAGAAAGCAAGCACTGCATAATTAGATCATGAACTTTGTTTCTTGGCTTTAATAGTCACCATCTCATTACCATGGTTCCGTTAACCAGCCCCTCTTCAGTATAGGCAGGTCTTTCTTTAGAACAGATTCATTCCAGAACAGAAAACCGAATTTAGAATCTCCGGGAGGCAAAGGGATACCACAAGCATTAGAGAAATATCCCCAAATGTTACTTGCCAATTCTCCATTAGCAAAAAGATGATTAATAGTTTCCATATTTTCTCGAGAACAGTAACACATAGAGGGACCATGAACCCCAAATTTGATCGGGGAATCATCAGTAGGGAGCTTTCCTTTTAGAAGTCTCGTCATAAAGAGATCTCGAAAGGATGCTTATATGCCAATTTTTCTACCCAGTGAGAGTAATGTTATTTGGATTCCTAAGATTCTTCCGAGCAGATTTGATGGAAAATATATCACTTTGGTTAGTAATCCAAATTGCTTCACCATATTACCCAGGTACAATTCGGATAGTTTGAATATAAGCAACATAATCAACAAAGAGAATATTATGAAGCTTAACCACATCCCATTGATTATCAATGAAAAAATCATTAACACTAGTCTCTTTAGACTTGTATCTTAGATTCATTAGAGTAGCTAAATCTCCTTTTTCTGTCCAAATCTAGTTGGAGTGCTTGTTAACTATATCCTATTTTTCACATCAGACAGTTTGAATAGCGCAGATACTATATACTGTATGTATATGTTTTGCACGTGCAAATAGCACAGATGAAACTCTAAATGCATCCATTAGCAAATTTTCATGGTGATTGGAGGTGCAAAAGGAGACATGATTAAAGCAATTGCAGGAATTTCTCTAAGTTAACCTGTGCAAACCATCTAATAACACAAAATAATTCAAGCAAACCATCTATAAAACATACCAACTATTGAAATTATCCTTCAGCGATTAAGCCTAAACTGGGTTTAATGGTTGTCATGAGACTTTTTAACCTAGCAAGTATAACATTTAGAGAACCTCTAATTTGAAACAAACCATATTTTTCCTTAAAAATCCAACTATTAACATGAACTGAAATGAATCCACATAGAGCAGATCGGGTAGAGGATTCTTACAAGCTGTTCTAACTTAAGTGGACTGAAGCATAGTTGACCGATTGACTCCACCGCAATATCCCAACCCCATTCAAGCAATCAAACACAGCAGTAGAGAAACTATCAAACTGTACTAGGAAAGAAAATACAGCAGATTATGTTCCCAGCAAGAGTTTGACTCAAATCAACTGACAGATCTCTACAAAAATGTGCAAAATGCTCACACGTGATTTTAGTGAAATAGAGAACTCCATGCAGGTGATTAAGCGAAGAATACCCAGAAATTTCAACTCGTCGATACTAATGTAGTAAGTTTAGCCAAACAAAAATTCAAGTCTATGAATACACCTTTTTCAAAAGATAAAGTGTTAACATCATCCCCTTTCTCCATAAATAACAACAAACTCATAACCTAAGCTCACATTCCTGTAAATGCTTTCTTTCCCCCACCAGCTGACCCAGCAGGAATCACCTTTAACACATTGAACCTCACAGTTTTGGACAAAGGCCTGTCCAGAAAAAAAAATTGTAACTACAGGTTGCAAAAACAAAAAGAAAAAACAAATATCGAGAATCTAAGAAATGGAAAAAATAGTAAACCTGCACTGTCCAATAATAACATGGTCTCCCTCTTTCACACGGAAGCATGGTGATATATGAGCTGGAATATTAGAATGCCTCTTCTCATACCTGAAAAAATACTCAATGTTGAAATCTACAGAACACTAGTGGAGCAGCAAGCAATCACAACAGAGAGAAAGGCCTTGCCTCTGGTACTTCTTGACATAATGTAGGTAGTTGCGTCGGACAACGATAGTTCTGTTCATCTTAGCACTGTGGCATGTACCAGCAAGGATACGACCTCTGATAGAAACATTGCCAGTGAACGGACATTTCTTATCAATGTAAGAACCTAAAATCAGGAGAGATAAGACAATTAAAATAGACAACAGGATAGAATGCAATGCAGAAATTAAAATCAAACTTAATTCTCAGTCAGAAATCAGGAATTACGCCTCCCCTTGCCAATACATTCAACAAACCAATTACTTCAGCAATTTATGCAAGTTTCTATTAACAAGGATGACATGCACAAGACATAAAATGAAATTGTCTGGAACACATTAACAATCTCAATCCATTAGGCAGAAGTACTCCAATTGATCACAACTCACAAGCAATGACCATTGTAATAACATTAAAGAAACTGTCATTCTTTTTCTGCGAGAATTGTCCCTCAATTGCTCCCCGAGGAACATTAGGGCTAATACAAATGGTTTCCACAGAAACAACACAAGATGAAGAACTTAGTACAAGAACAGATTTCAAACAGGAATCTCCAGGAAATTTATATGAGACACGCTCTCACAATCTGTTAATCTCATAGAGTTTTAGCTGTATAACAAAAAGAAAGATAAAAAATATAATGTTAAATCCTACAAATCAACATGCCCCCAGGGCCTAGCTCAATTGGCAAAGAGTGGTGGATTTGTGCCTTAGGTCTTCAAGCCCCCACACCATGCAAAGCAAAGCCTGGTATTTAAGTGGAGAAGGGTAGAGGGGCGGGCCCATTATCCACCGAGTTTCGAAGGCTGCGGTTGGTCCAAAGGATCGACCCCAGACGGATTTCTCGGTCATCAAAAAAAAAATCCTACAAATCAACATACTTGTCCTTGAATACAAAACCTACAGAGCACTACGAACATGCAGGCACATAGATATCAGTACCTTATCATGTAAAAAACAACAAATTTTCAACTTCCGCTGCTAAACCCAAGAAATTTGGCCAAGGGAACTTTACAGGTGCATCACATAGAATCAAGGTGCATCTGCCGGAGTCAATTCAAACATCTTCTTTTGGCTGGCTGTTAAACTTAAGAACTCCTATTGGTTACTTGTTAATAATTTGGTAACTTTCTCAAATAATGAAGGCAAGATAATCAATTGGATCGATCTTACATAGACCACCATCTGTACCACCAGATATCACAATTTCATCATCAGAAAGAATATCCGCTTCACTCAATACCCAGATTACACTCATATGCATGAAACAATCATTCTTCATTGGCATGATGGCTATCCAAATAGCATAACAACTTTGGCTGCAACACTGTGAATGGATATCACTTCTGAATGAACAAAATTCTAACGTAACCAACTATGCTGTGCAATCTCAACAAATTCCACCTAATTCAAAATTTAAACTGCAGAAATAGAATATCTAAGAATAAAAACAAAGTGCAGAAGGGAACAAGGAAGCACATGATAGATCCATTGAAAGCTTTCTAGAATATAATTCATTATACACTATTTCAATAAGATGCCGGTGTTATACATACATAAAATAAAATAGAAATGAACCTTCGGTAGCCTCACGGGGAGTCTTGAAACCTAAACCAATGCTCTTAAAGTAGCGATTGCCACCCTTTCCTGGCCTCTTCCCCTTCCCTGTCTTCTTCGAGCTGCCAGCCAATTACAAAGCAGACCTTAGCCTCAAATCTCCCAAATTTTCAGTAGAAGTTAACGTTTATAAAATGACAATGTAAATAACTTAAATATAAATAGAAATAGATTGTGCATTAATCTTCTCTTGGAATTGAAGAAAATGCTTCACATAAATATATACAAAATGCTCACCTAAGAAAGACACCAGGCTGCTTCAAGAAGGCCTTCTCCGTCTGCAACACAAAAGCTAATTAAATGATATTTCCCTACTAGAATAGAATGTGACGAAGAATAGAAAAGGGGACAAACCTGTTCAGCCATTGTTGTGATATGCTGCGAAGTTGAATGAGCTGATATTAACGGCTTGGCAGCAAAACCCTAGTAGAGACTCGCTGAGCAAACCGTCGGCTCTTTATAAGAATGACATATTAATTATTTCAGCCCAAGTTTTATCATTCTGGCCTACTAATTTCCATGGGCCTTGTCCCGATATTATCTCTGACCCAAAACTGAAAGCAAAGCTGCTCTACAAGTTTTTAGCAACTGTATTGTGATATGTGCTATGCCTGTGTACCTAAATATTTATCTAAAAAATTATATTAAAGTCATAAAATAAAATTATAAATTCGTCTGACAATCTTGAAGGGTCTGCAAGTTTTCCTTTTCAATATTTGCAAAGGAAATTATGGTCATTTAATGAAATTGAACAAAATAATAAGGCTAAATTGTATAAGAAACAAGTTGGTCTACTCAACGATCACAATACAGTTTGATGAAACACAAGTCGAAAGATAGTGATTATAATAGTATAAGACAAAATTTTAAGTGATTTAAAATCTTAAATACTAAGACTTTCTACATTATTTAAATAAGGAGAATTCTTTTCACAATAAAAAAATTAAAAACAAAATTGTTGCTCAAACAGACCGAGATTCGCAAAAATGTATTAGTTTTTTAACATGTTCATCATCGTTGAGGCTATATGTTTTACAAAGGGCCGACGCACAATCTATTAACTTGATTGCATGTTCCGATAATCAATTGGCTTATACGTTAATATGTTGTCGTAATACTTTAGTCCTTTATTGTTCATGCAATTCTTTTCTAACAATTAGAATTTTACACGCTGTTTTTTTTTTTTTTTTTTTTATGTTTTATAGTTCAAATAAGAAAATGAATGAGGCAAGCACTTATTGTTTTAAAATCGTGGGAATTCTTATGTATTTTAAACAAGAAAAAATTTAATAAATGAAATTTTAGTTGATTTTAAAGTCTTAATTATTAGGAAAGTAACTTAAATTTTAATTTTATCCAATGTAAATTTTATTTGTAAATGATAAAAAAGGCGAACATCATTTCACTAAGGGGTTTCGTGCTTTTTAATATAGTATAGATTACCATAGATTGGGCATCACCAAATTATTTGTACTGTATGACCTTCTTGGAGGGTTCACCTATGTGGAAGTTTCATCTGAAACTTAAAAATACATGTCGTAAGCTTTCATGGTGGTCTAAAAACACCCTTGGTGATATATTTGAGTTGATTAAGGATAAGGAGAAAAAAGTGGTTGAGCTTGAGAAAATATGCCTTTAGGACAATTCAGTGACTAATATGGTCGGGTTCAATGAAGCTAATGCTCAACTCACCAGACAATATAAAATTGGGGAAACATTTTGGAAACAGAAATCAGGTATCAAGTGGCATGCTGAAAGGGACCTTAATACCACATTTTTTCACTCAACCATATCCTCAAGAAGGCAGAGGTTACTCTTACGAAGATTAAAAACAAGGATGGCTATTGGATTGAAGGAAGTGACAACATTGACCAATAAGTAGTCAAATATTTTGAGAAGATGTTCACTGATGATAATCATAATAGGGACTTCTCAAGTCTTTCATGCCTTCCAAAAAACATTACTAGGGAGGATAATGACATGCTCTGTAAGTTTCCTACTATGTAGGAGCTTAAGGAAACTGTTTTTGCTATGAGCTCTGATAGTTCATCGGGCCCGGATGGTATGTTAGGAATATTTTATCACCAACGCTGTGATACAATTGCTGAAGATCTCTGCAGTATGGTACTGGAATTCTTTGATGGAGGCATTATTCTAAGAGCCATATCTCACTCGTGCCTCATCCTTCTGCCTAAAGTCAGATCACCTCAGGAATTTTCTGAACTTAGACCAATCAGTCTAAGTAATTTTTCCTGTAAGATTTTATCAAAACTTATTAACAGTAGACTTACTACTATATTGAGCAAGATTATCTCTCAGAATCAAACTGGTTTTATGAAAGGAAGATCTATTACTGAGAATATTACGTAGGCTCAGAAGATGGTACATAATATGAGTAAAGAAGACCCTCATGATAATGTAGCCTTAAAACTCGATATGACTAAAGCATATGACAGGGTCTCGTGGGTATTCTTATGTCAAGTTTTCAGGCACATGGAATTCTCAGAGGTTTGGGTTGACAGGATATGAAGATTGATATCTAACAATTGGTAGTCCATCAATATCAATGGAGAAAGACATAATTTTTTCAAATCCACGAGGGGGCTGAAGCAAGGGGATCCTTTATCCCCTTCTTTATTTATTATTGGGGCCGAATTGCTTTCTAGACTGATGGATCAGTTGGTAGGTGATATTTTCTAACCTTTCTCTACTAAAGGAAAAGGCCCTTCTATCACACACCTATGTTATGCCGATGATACTATTCTCTTCATCTCTGATGAACATATATCAGTGGCCATGAAGATGCATAAACTTGGAGTCTATGAAAATGTCTTTGGGCAACTAGTAAACAAGAGAAAATCGGGTTGTATTGTGCACACAAATGCTGTGAATACCTTCATCTAGGAAGTGAAATAAATAACTGGTTTTGAACAACACCATCGGCCTTTCAAATACCTCGGATGCCCCATTTACACTAGCAGGAAGAAAATCATATATTTCAATGAATTAGTTGCCCATGTGTTTAATAGGATCACTAATTGGCACACTAAGTCCTTATCTTTTGGAGAAAAAGTTATGCTCGTCAAAGCTGTTTTAGCATCTCTTCCTCTTCACATCATATCAGTTACTTAACCTCCTAAAGCCTGTATACTTCAAATGGAGAAGAGCATTGCTAATTTCTTCTGGGGTGAATCTGAAGGTAAGAACAAACATCATTGGATAGCTTGGAGAAAATTATGTTTCCCTACTAAGGAGGGGGGAGCTGGTTTTAGAAACATTCAAGGATTTTATAATGCCTTTTCTGCCAAGAATTGGTGGAACTTTAGAACAAAGTGTTCCTTGCTTAATCAATTCTTGGAGGGTAAATATTGCAAAAGGTCATATTCTATGGTTAAGAAATGGACTAATGGGGATTCTCATGCTTGGAAAAGGCTCGCTGATATGAGGAACAAATGTGAACAACACATTCTCTGGAAGGTTGGAAAAGGTAACTTATCCTTTTGATGGGATAATTGGTCAGGACTAGGTGCTCTAGGAAGCTGCTTCCACAAGGTTATATATCTAAAAAGATAAAAGTATCTTCCTTCCTAGAAGTTGGGACAAGGAATGAAAATGCTCTCAACAAATTATGAAGATTAATGTGGAGCCACATAAGAATGATTATCCATTGTGGATGCTAGATCAAAGTAGTAAATTCACGTGCAAGTCTGCATGGGAACTACTGAGGATTGCTAGAAATGAATCTCTTTCTGCTTGAAAGATGTGGCATTCTAAGATTACTTTTAAGGTGTCCTTTTTCATGCTGAGATTACTTCATTTTAGACTACCAACTTATGATGTAATTATTAATTTGGGTATCATGGACCATCTAGATGCTATTGTTGTAGATATATCAAACATGAAACTATTGACCATCTGTTTTGTACAGGAGAAATGACTAGGATCTGGAAATTTTTCCGTAATTCTTGTGGTATTCCATATCAAAGGAACTCTGTTAGAGCTATGATGTTTCACTGGTGGCTCGAAAAACCAAAAAACAAGATACATAAATTTTTCCTTCGATGTGTTCCCACTGTGGTATGTTAGCAGATTTGGGAAAATAGGTGTAGCCATAAATATGAAGATATTCTTTTATCCCGCCAGAGAATAATCAAACAAGTTACCTAGTTAATTAGCCTTATTCTTAATAGTCAATTTCATACACTCAAAGCTAATGTTAATTGGAATGAGATCTGTAACAAGGTGAAAAGAGCTAAGAAACAGATTGATATCATGATTATTAGGTAGGACAAGCCTAATCATCCTAGCATGAAGCTTAACATTGATGAATGTTGTAAAGGCAACCCAGTAGAGGCAGTAGGAGGAGGCATTCTTAGAGATAAGAATGGCAATATGATCATAGCTTTCTACTCATATTTTGGTACTTGCAGCAATAACATAGTTGAATGCATGTCATTACTTATAGGACTTTATTGGTATATTGACAATGGCTTTAATGAGTTAGTAGTTGAATTTGATTCTCTATTACTTGTTAACATAATCAATGGGATCAACAAGACTCAAGCTCAAGTTAAAGAGCATATCCAGAAGATTAGGCATTTAATGGCGCAAGGCAGATGTCAAGTTTAACATTGTTACAGAGAAGTTAATATCGTAGCTGATAAACTTGCCAACATTGTACTTATGCGCATATAGGAAAGGTTCTTCCCTCAAACTATCTCATTATCCAGGAATGTTAAAGCTTTATTGAAGAATGACCAAAGAGGCTATGTCCACTTTAGAATGAGAACAAAGAGCGGCCACTATATTTTTGAAAATGTTTAGCTCTAATTATCTAGGATTAATCATAATAGCATATGCTTCGGCATCCATCTGTAATACAAGAGAGGAGTCCTCTCTTAAACTAAAAGCTATAGTTTTTGCTATCTATATAAGGGTGAGGTTTCTCACTCTTCATGTCTCTCTGGAGGCTAAGGTTTATATCCTCCTACGGGTATTCTTTTGGATAATTTTATAGACAGGTAGGGATCCTGCCAAATTCCCCATCACCTCTGGTCAGTATAGCTTGGGTGAATGGATTCATTAAAAATAGTATGGCCTTCTTGAGACCACTTTTTAGATTATGACCACTTCTTGAGACTCCTAGCACCTCTCTTGCCGCCTTTTGGACTATATAAGAAAGGCGGCGAGAGAGGTGCTAGGGGTCTCGAAGGGTTACTATGGCGGGCACCAATGTGACTAGTGGTGAATGATATGGTCCAAGGTAAAGTGGAAGCACAGAAAATGGTGTATCTTAGGCTAGTGAAGAGCACAGACGAGGAAGAGAGGAGAGTGAACAGAGGAAGGTATAAGGAATCTAGGAAGGAGGCGAAGTTAGCGGTTATGGAGGCTAAGGATGCAGCGTTTAGTCGTCTGTATAGAGAGTTGGGGGTCAAAGGAGGGGAGAAGAAGCTATTTCGGCTGTC